ATATATATATATATATATATATAGTGTTTCTTGATTATCATATCAAATTTAAATGAGCAATATAAACCTCCTTGTCCAGTGGCGGACAGGGATGGAGTCCCTAGCCTCACTTAAAAAAAAAAAAAACATTTATATGATTTTTTTATATTTATTTTAGTTTTTATCTACAATATCATCGTATTTTTGTTTAGAATAAATTTCCATAATTAAATTTGGATTCGAATCCTGACTTCGCCACTTCCCACATCGCATTTGTTCCAATTAGATTTTGATTGTATCAACAAGATTGACACATACGCACAACATTCTTATTGAATCTTATCCACACACTAATCGTAACCCGACTCCACCACTATTCACAGTGATACATACACAAAACATTCTTATTGGTCCACTTCAATCTTATCCCCCTCACAGAGTCAGGCAATTACGGGGTTTGATTTATCCCATTTGGATTAACCAAAGGACTCAAGAATATTATAGTTTTAAGCCATGAAGGTGGGTTAATATTCGTTTAGGTGGACCAAACAATCGATTACATATTTTTCACTTTTCTTCAACTTTTACTTAAAAATAGCCAAAATCTCACAATGTTACTGTTTTAGTCAGATACAATGCAAATTTACATTGCCCACTCGTCAAGCATCAACTAGTCACTTTTCACTTTACCGGCAAGCAAAAAAGAATTTTGTTGTCAATCAATTTATGGCCCCGTTTGATAGCAATTTTGAAAATTGATTTTTTGACCGTTAGAGGAGAAGTGAGAGTCACCTATGAAAGAAAAAATCAAACTTTACAGCTAAAATAGTGAAATAACGGTCAAAAAATCAATTTTTAGAGGGTGAAAAATCACTTCCAAATACTCTCATATAAAAAATCAAACAACACGTTCAAGTTAAAGAGAGCTAATAAGATGACTTGTTTGAAAAGTAAGTGTCTACCAAAACTTTTTAAAAAGCCTCTTAGAAGCCCGTCTAAACGTGTGGCACCCTATGCCACCCTGGCCCACCCAGACGAATGGTCCCTACTTTTACTTGAGAGACTTGTAATTCCATGAAATGCTTAAGATAATGATCAAAAGTGCTTATAACAATCATAATAAACGACTTACAAGAAAGTGGTCAAGGGTAGTATACAAGTATTCCAGTACTCGGAGAGACCATATACTCGTAAAGATCATGTGTGACCAAACGAAAGTTCGCTGTGCAAACCTGCCTCTTAAAGTCTTGGATAACAGATATCATCGTCGACATTGGCATCGGCATCAGCATAGCTTAGAATTAAGGCACAAGATATTGTTACAAGGACAAATATTAACAGCAGTCTAAGCACCAGGTAGCAGTCCCTTTTCATGCCTCTGTAACCTGCCATCACAGAATGCACGAGTTCAAATTTCAGAGATCATTATATTCTCATGCAAAATTCAAACATGAAAACTCGTCATCTAAAGTCGAGGCAAGAACATTCCATGTCAAACATTGTGCTCAAATGTTATAAGAAATCAATATGTAGCCTGAATAAGCAGCAATTAAGGTAAACTGTCCTTCGGTGCAGCAGAGGTGGTCAATGATTCATAAAGATATCAGTTGATTAGTTCAGTGCTTTCAGGAAGATTTCAAAATCTGTACTAGATACTGGCGGTGCCGAAGTGAAGATTTCTCAGTATAATGGACAAACCCCCACCCTAATCCTATATTTTTCTGGATGAAGCATGTATATTCATTACTTCCCAATAATATTTTAGCTTGTTTCTTGATGCCTTCAGCATTAAGGAGCATCTATATTAACCCAACACTTTGGTTAACATGCCATAACCTTGTAAAACATGAAACGACATATGGCAATGGGCCCTTCAGATGTTCATTACTTCAATTTATTACAGCTTTTGTGAACACTAATTTACAACTACAATTTACTACATAGCAGTAGGGGTGGGAAATAACTCAAAAAACCGACCTGGATATGAACATGAAATCTGATTAACATAAACCCACGGTTCAATTGCGGTTTAAACAACCAAGTTGATAACACATATTTTAATTCAATTTTAAAATTCAAAACTGTTAACTTAAAAAAACCTAAAGCTCTCTCAATCCATGCCTTCAGCATTAAGGTGCATCTATATTAACCCAACACTTTGGTTAACATGCCATAACCTTGTAAAATATGAAACGACATATGGCTATGGGCCCTTCGGATGTTCATTACTTCAATTTATTACAGCTTTTGTGAACACTAATTTACAACTACAATTTACTACATAGCAGTAGGGGTCGGAAATAACTCAAAAAACCGACCTGGATATGAACATGAAATCTAATTAACATAAACCCATGGTTCAATTTCGGGTTAAACAACCAAGT